CCAAAGGTTTCGTCATCATGCTACATGAGTTTCATGTTGCTTGAGCCCGAGCTGCGACTTAAGAATTTCGATGGAAACGAACGAGTTTTTTTTTTCTTTATAGATTTCAATCACAATGTTTTTTTCTTTGCCACGGCTGCAGCATTGGACAATACTGAATATGGTTTGGCTGTCCTTTTGCGACTCCCCCTCTTATTTTCGATCGACGCGCCGCCGTCGACGCACTTTTAGGTCATTTTGGCAATAAGCTGGCCCTTAAATTCAAATATTCCAACATCGTTTTTGTCTCACTATGTATATTGGCGCATTCATTATAAATTATACAAACACTGCCTACTGACATTGCCAGAACGCAAGTGTGTTTGTGTGTGCGTAACATTCATTCCGAGATACTGGCGGAATAAAGGTTAATATCTGATATTGTCGTTAATTTCACAATGGCAAATGCGCGTTAGACGAATGACACTATTTTTTTTTCTCTCATCTTCGATCTGTGTGCGCTTTTTTCCCTACGTTAATTCGTTTTTTGTTTGTGATCTTGATGGAACATACTCACCTTTGGAGTGCGTTCGATCATTGCTGTGCGTCAACGATAAAAAAGCAACACAAAGTTTCGAGGCTGATGTTGGGCATGGGCACACACATCTGAATGTCATTTACATTTTTACTGCAAACAACGGCATTTCACATTCGACGCCTAAATTCGTGTGGTCTACGGCGCTTATGGACTGATGATGATGATGATGATCAAACGCAGATCAACATACGGTTATATCGAATTTTCTTCTTTTGAAATCGTATGTTTCCAATTAGCGGTTTACGATCTTTTTCTTAAAAAAAATGATGTAAAAGAGTTTTTACATTCAAAAACTTCGACGAAAAATCATAAAAGTGGCAACAGCAATGCAACGAAAACCGTTCTACAACAACGGATGAAAGATTCAACCAGTTAACTATCTTCGAATTGAGCAAGAGTTGCATACACCGAATTCGAATTAATTCAAACGAAATGGTTGGCAGAAATGAATGAAAAATGCAGAAAAATTAATAAAAATGCGATTAAAATGATACGGAATCAAAAGGTGGAAAATGAAAAAGCGATTAAAAAGAAGAAAAGACATTTTTAAAGGGAAAATGAAGGGAACTTTGATACATTTGAATAAATCGCTTGCAAGTGAAAGGTTAACAAATCTGAATCAAACTCACTCATACCTTCGAATCGAATGCGATTTATCTTGTCAACATTCGCAAGTCACAAGAAATGTGTCAAAATGTGAAAAATTATGAGCGCCCAGCAATCAGTTTGAAAAATTAATGTTGCCTTGCTTTGAATTTGGTTGTCACATTAAATACAATGCCAAAAGCCCATAGGCTTTCGGCATGGTGTATGCATTAAGGTTTTTTTTCTTTCATATGAAAATAGGCGCACATTGAATTTGTCGCACATAAACTGCCATTTAAGTAGTTCATTTGAGCTTAAATACACGGAATTCACGTCGATTAACTCTCACATTGCGATATGATCTGATTTACAGTCAAAAATGTACATGATTTGTAAATGCAAATACAGTGGGAGCTTGTGAATGTAGCCACGCGAAAACTAGAAGAAATCGACGACGACGAGAGAGGAAAAAAATGGTGCTTTGTGGCTTCTTACGATGTGTTTGTTATTTTTGGCATCGCCCATTAAGTGTAAGGCAAATGGCGAAATGAATTCTGATGATAGCCAAATTTACAAATGTTTTATTGTTTAGAAAAGACGCACGAAGATCAAACGGCGTTCATTTCTGTACAATAGAATGCATTACGCGATCGAAGTTCAGAAGAAGAGCGAAATATAACAACACCGACCGATCAGAGAGAGAGGGAGAGAGAGAGAGAGAGAGAGAGAGAGAGAGAGGGAGAGCGAGCTGCGTGATTGCTATGCGTTGATGTGAGATCGATGGTGTGTGATTCCAATTTTAATTCGTTAGTTTCGTGTGCACGCACGCTATCCAACTAACGATCGCAAAACGCGTTAACGTAGTTTCGCTTGTCGATATTTTTTTTTCTTTCGTTTGCTAATTTAGAAGAGTCGAATTTCTAGAGCCGCGCAAAGAACCAAATGGGCTAAAAATGTTATGCAAACGAAAAGAAGCGAAAAACAAAATCGTCTAACACACGCGAGCAGTGAGAAGCGAAAAATTGCGAATGTGTTGAAGCAAGAAGAAAAGAAAAATAAATAAATACATGAAGTTGGTTAAGCAGCATTAAAATGGCTATGGCACAGACTCGTTGGGTGTGCAGCAGCACCAAACACTTTTCGGCTAGATCCATTTCGATGAAATCGAAAATTTATCACTGTCGACATTTTACGCTAATTTTTGTTTCTTCTGTGCTTTACCATTTTAACACTATCCTCGAGAAACTCACTCACACCGGCCAATTGACAGCGTCATGTCTCTCTGTTGGTGTGTGTGTTTTGTAGATATTTATCACTTCCTTCTGACAAATCAGTTCTTCGCATATTTTATTTTAGATAATGTGTAACACGAGCGAATCATCTCTATCTCTCTTGCGTTGAATGTCTGTGGATTGTCTCACTATTATTACGCTTTCGCTCCTTTTGGTTTCCCTCCCGTCGCTCTCTCTCTCTCTCTCTCTCTCTCTCTCGCTCTTCTATCCATTTCATTTTGCAGTTTTTCCACTGTCCTCTAAATTTTCACATGAAATATGCGAAAAACATAATCCATTCGATGAAAAACTTACTACACAGACCGAAATAATAAAGGCGAAGAAAAACGATTAGCTCGAAAAGCTCAATGTTTTGTCGGCTCTCCGCTGACGAATCATTCTCTTGGGTGAGTTAGCAAATGATGCGATTTGTGCTCTGCATAAAATTCAGCTTAGGCGCAGTTTTTCTTTATTATTATTTTTAGAATTGCCATTTTTTCGGTTTGCCGTACAGCGAAATACGCTATTAGCTGCTCTACTCAACAACATCCTATCGACAAATTCAAGCGGAAGAAAATAGGGCCCGATAATGTCTCAAGGAAAAACCATTTTCCTTCACAATCAAATGCGAATGACCCATATATTTTTTTACCATGATTTTTTGGTGTCACAAGGATTTGTAAGATAGTTCGTTTTTAAGAAAATAAAAAACATTGTTGGTTCATCGAATAAAGTGTGAATTCATGAAATTTGAATTCAAATTTAGATTCCAATTCGGACTAATTCACATTGTGAACCATGGGTGACAGTATAAAAATATTTTATGCACGAGATCGCGATCGAGGGCGATTCGATTAAGAAATATTAGTGGTCGGATTATAATTTTAACTGTCAACACTCGAACCGTACGCCGACACCAGCACCAAATTAATTAAGTTCACCGGGATTAAAGTTAATCTCATTAATTTATGAACTGATTTTTTGTGTGGTTTATTTGTTACTTCAGAAGATTTTTCTTCGTTGCATCTTCTTTGCTCTCATCAAAATATTTGAAACCGTAATAATTCATTTCGATTCATTTGTTCAAACAAAGCGCTAAATAGGTGAGATTCGAATTGAATTTTCGTAATAGCGTTCGAGGTTTCATTGTCTAGCATGTTGATATTTTCATGAAAAACATGACGAAACATATTTATCAAGTGTACAATTTATTTTGTAGATAAAGCTTGCGTTGCAATCTGCAACCTCTTTTCGGGCGGCATTGTTATTGAAAACAATCGAATTGCCGTTGCGTCCGAAGAAGCCTTTCGGTTCCAAAGCATTATCTGGAATTGGAAATGGTTGCAGAAACCTCGAAACCTCAATGCAATCACAATATTGAACATAATGTGCATATAATGAATGTTATTGAGACAGGTGTTTTGAATCGAATCAATATTTCGATTGAAATTTTTCGGCAGAAGCATTTGTTTTCCTCACACACACACACACACAGGAAAAATACGAATAACTCTTGTCTAAATTTAATGTGGCCTATCGGTGAGCATATTTTTCGAAACGTTGATTTTAAAATAAAATTCAAGGACGATGTTTGGCTCGTGTTTCGTTTGAAACGGATCGTTTATCGCAGCGGCTATCCTGGCGATAATATAGGTGATTGCAAGAGAGTGTTGACGTTTAACGAAGCCATTTTTGAGAAGTATCGGTTTCTACAGGATAAGTATTTTGTGTTTTCACGTTTAAAAATTAATTTTTCGCCCCCAAAAAAAAACCGCCCGAATCGAATCAATGAATTAACGCGAATTATGTACTAACCAGGCTGAATGTTTTTCCCATTCCGCTGTGTCTAAAAATACTCCGATAAAAAGGAAGCAGGAAAAAGCCGTAAGGAAATTCATTTATTATTCACACGAAGGTATTTTGTGACCAAAAAACTGGGCGCCTAAGAAAAAGCAATCGGCGGAAAACAACCGAAAGCGTCCATTTTTCAACGTCGAAGCCTAAATGGCTGCAAGTGAGTATGGGTTGAATGCTTTTTTTGGTCATTATAATTTATGTATATTTGGTTGCGTTGCTTTTTCTGATTCGAATGTGTGCTTGGCGTGCGAGTGTGTCGATGCAAAGTGAAGTGATTTTTTCTATTCTTTCGTTTTGCTTAGATTTCGTTTCTTTGTCATCGATCTTTTTTTTTCTCTGACCGCTCACAATGTCTTGTTGCGTCGATCATCAGTTCGGCTTTTTTGTTTGCTGCGTGTTTTTTTACACATTTTTTTTTTTCGTTCGTTCCTATTCGCATTCGCTAATTTCTCGCTCTGAAGCTGCCTAGTCAGAGCTAGTGTTAAAGCGAGTGAGCGAGTGAGTTAGTTGTTTGTGTGAGCCGTTGTGCGTGTATTTGAAATTGGTTTGAAAGAAGCGTTCACTTTGTTGGTCGAATTGGATTGGATGGTGCGTTCTCTCGCACATTTGCAAGCCTGTGTAAATGAACGCGTGATTAATATACTATTTGCTAGTGCTGGTGCTGCTGCTGAACACAATTTTTTTTCTATTTCGTTGTTTCGTTCGTTTGTTCTTTTTTTTCGGTTTTCTTTTTCTTCGATCTTCAGGCCATGTGTGTGTACAGTGTACACACGTACAAAATTTTTCGGTGGCCGCTTGGGCTACATGTAGCATTAGAGTTGTCATGTTGTGTGCTTGTGTGCGAACACGCGCTTTGCCATGGTTTTAATGCTATTTTCTATTAATAATACACATACAAATTTATGGAAAAGTGCATTAAACTTTTGTACCGCACAAGGTCGCTGCTGTTGCGTTAAAAATTTAGATTTAGATGTATGTGTGTACTTTTCTCTTTCCCTCTCTCTCGCTCTTTTCTATTGGTTATTCAGAGCTGTCACTTTATATCGCTCTTTCATTCGAACACAATCGGCAAATGGCTTGGCTTGGCTTGAACTGAGAGCCAGAGAGCATTATATATCTCGGATTTAGATTGTTGGCGAATGGTGAAATGTGATTTGTGTGTTTCATTCCTCCGACTAATTCTTGGCAATCATTTTTTAATGTCGTTTCCTTCGCATGTGCCTTTTTGAATTTTCGAAGCTTATGTGTGTTGTGATGATCACAACTTTTTTTTTGCTCGGTTGGTCTCTCCTCTTTGTTTTCTAATGGCGAATCATCAACACAAATAGAATATTCTTTGTGTCTCTTCTTCTATGATCAATTTCGTTTGCAAATGCAGAGTATGCAAAGCGCGGCGATGGAGTAAAGGGGGACAGCAACCAACACAAAGCGACAATGCAAAAAACGCACATTCGTCCGCGGAATAAACAAGTAATTTGTGCTGATTTTTTGCATGTATTCGCATACACAATTAGCAAAAAACCAACAAGAAATAGGCGAAGCATTCCGAATCTATTCTTCTACCTTTTTGGCTTAGAATTAAAATCGAGCGAAATTTCATGGTCAAAATGTCATGCACGCAGCTCTTTGACTATTCGATTGTGATGGTATGCGGTCTTTCGCATTCCTTTTTTTTATGTATGTCGTTTGTGGTTGAAGATGTGAAATTGAAACAGTTCTTGTCGGTTGTTTTTTTCTTTGGTCGTTGATAGAATCGAGTGTGTGAGTGGGATCATGTATGCCTTTGTGCAAGATCATCATAGAATGACAAAATGGTGGAACAAATGTGGACTCTTTTCGACTATAATACTATAGAACAATCGAATATATTCACCCATTCGCATTCGCAAGCGAAATAGAATGTAGTTTGCATTTGAGAGATTAACACACGTGTGACATTGACCGAGAGCATATCGAATCACTTTCTCAAGAAGATCATCAATCGCCAAATAAACATTCTTTATTCTTTTATTTTACATTCAAAACAATTCGAGAATATATGTGTATCAAACTGTGAAACAAAAGTGATCTCACGAACGAAACAAAAAAAAACACAAACGAATCGCTATTTCTAAACATCTTATCAATGCGTTAGCCACTTTGCGGTGTTGACAGAAAAACCGAAGACAACGAACAAAAAAAAATACTCAATCTCTTCTCAAAATTATTGCTTAGACTGAACAATGTCGCGGCGAGATACGCGCGCGTAATCGCATATCATGCAAGTAATCTTTCGTCAAAATATGGCACATACTCTTTTTTTTCACTTCTTCTTATTCTTCGTTGAGACATTTCTCAATAATGCGTTTCGGGTGGTTATGTGTTTCAATGCGATAAACTATTATCTTTAATCGCGAATTTCGCATGTACGCACTGGACGCGTAGCGCTGGGAAGGAATGGGCGAAAAAACGCCAAACACAGCATGGAATAACAATAATAATCATGAGAATGGCAACGAGAAGTAAGCTATCGCATACGGCAAACAACTACAGTCATGCCGAATAATAATGACGCCTAATTTACAAGTGTATTTTTAGTAATCAAATCGTACGCGTACACAAAACACCTCATTCCAGTTCAACAAGCCGAAATTACATAATGCCCATAGCCTGTAACTCATTTTCCAGAGCCAACCAAACAAAAAACACACACATAAATCAAAGGGCACGCGGCAATTGTGAAAAAAAGACCTACTGAACGTTGAAATGCATAGAACAGAATCGCTTTTTATTCCGTTGCTGAGGTGAGTGTTAGCACAGAGGGTGCTGTGTATTGATATTGAAACCTTTGGAAAATTTGCACTCGATAATTGGTTCCATTGAAAATGTGTGTGTGAAAGGACGGGAGACGTGAATTTTTCATCGGAGAGTCACTTGCTATGGCCCGGAATTAGTGCGCATTGGACACAATCCATACAGGATTTAAGCTACACCAGCAACAGCATTCATTCGATTCATTCGTCCGAGAAATGCGTTTGAAAAAAAGCTCGTTGCTCATTCGCTTGGCGTGCACACGAACCATTTGCTGTTGCTGTTGCTGCTCAGCGTGTGCATGTGTATTGGCATGTAGCAGCGCTTTAGATGTGCGAACACCACAATGCTCTTGCTATTCCCTCTTTTTCTAATTCTACTTCAGTTTGTTTTTTGTTTCTCTACCATTCCATTTCGAACTTTTTCGTTGTTGTTGCGTTTGTCGTTCGTTTTTTCGCTCTCTCTCTCTCTCTCTCTCTCTTCCTATGTTATGCTTTCGTTCGCAATGCTTGCTTTTATATAGGCTATTTTGCAGCTAGCTAGTTGTGTGCGATTACACTCCCGGCACATTTGTTGCCTTGTTCTTCTTCTTTTTCATTTTCGTTTCGCTTGTATATTATACCATTTCATTGTATAATTCTTTTTTGATGGTGGGTTCTTGTATTTTTCTAGAAATTATTTTAGTATTTCTTTATTTTTTTATATGACCGCGTTGATATTACTGGTTCGCTGCTGGTTTCACTTGCATATCGGCTATCGGGCCATATTTTTGGAATGACTGTTTTTTAATCGTATCAATTCACATGCTTAACTTTTCTCTCTCTCTCTCTCTCTCTCTCTCTCTTTCTCTCTCTCTCTCTCTCTCGTAAAATGAAATTCGAATGTCATTTTGACACCGAGTAAAAATACACACGCCATCAAACAATTCAAGTTCGGCGTTTTGTTTTCTTCAAAGATCGTTTTGAAACTGCACTTGTATGTATAAAAATGCTAACAAATAATTACGAACAAAGACAATCGCACACACATTCAGAACGAAGGCAATTTTTTTTGGCAACAAAAACGTATGGAAAATATAATAGAAAAAAATAACACACAAATTGTATTTTTAAGGTACGTTGCCCCATTGAGTCATGTGTTGTTACTGCTGCTGTTGCTTGCTATTTTTCTCTGTTTTTCTATTTCTTTGTCGATGTTCATATTTTATACTTGTTCTATACAGACTTTTTTGATGCGCGATACAATTAATCGTTCGTATTTTTCTTCTAATCCACGAACATTTCTGTTGTTTCTTTTATTTACGTGTGGTTTTTTTTCTGAGTGGGTTTTCGTACGAAACGTAATGAGTTTGCGATGTGTATGTGAACCAACTCACCGGTTGTTTTACAGCGAATTGAATATGTGAGTGCTTCTAATGCGTTTTATTGCCCTCTTGATTTGTGTGTGCTTGAATCATTTGGGCGTCAGTTGGCAAACTTCATCACATACATTGTTTGACTTTTAAACGAGCGAAAAAAATGATATCGGAGACTAATTTCAACATCAGACACGTGTAGACACTTTTTTTTTGAATGATCACCACTCTTGAGTTCACAATTTTCCATAATCTAAACAGAAGATATACATTTTGCATCAACGTTAGCTGATTATTTTTGTTGTTCACACTTTTGCCTGCTTCGATCGGTCTATACTTTTATTTTGCTGTTTAGATTTTGATACCTTATCAATTCAAGGAACAATCTTACAATGAATTATGTTTTTAATCAAGTCTCTTGGAAGACAATTTAATTTTAATCAAGGATTTCGCGAGAATACCGTAAATTTTGCACTAAAAATCTAATTGAAAATTAGATAAAATTTAGCTTAAAGGAGAAAAAGAGGAAATACACATTTCATTTTGGAAAAAAGGCAGAAAAGAGAGTTTTTGCATATTTTTTTCTTAAACATTGGACAAGACGTCAACTTATGCCACAAATTGATGTGAAAATCTTATTGGAAAAGGAGAAATGAGTTTGAAACAAAAAATCTGTAGACAGAAAATTGAATTTCAATGATGAAAAATTTTCAATTTTTATGGAGGTGCATTAATATTTTCAAGTAGGTGACAAGGGATTCACGAATAGTGAATTTCTCAAAAACAAAACTTTTGATGAGAAGACAATTAGCGGAAAAATGATAGACATAAAGCGAACATATGAAAAGGTGGAAAATTCTTATGAATCTTCGACGCAGAAACGTAGTTTACCTAAACAATTCATAAGAAATTCTCATTTTTTCATATGTTCGCCCTATAACTATCCTTTTCTCACTAATTGTCTTCTTATTACAAAATATTTTTGAGCTATTCTCACTTTTATGAAAAGGAGCCCGGTATTCTACTCTTTTAACTTCTATATCAACAAAAGATTGCAAGCTAAATGAATAATAATAATTAATGTTCAATACAAAAAAATCATGTTCACAAACCCAGAGTTTGAGATGAAAATAATTGGATGTGAACGAAAAGATCAATGAATTGGATTGGATGTGAATACAGATTTGATTGAGAAAATTCTGAAGTCAGAAAAGAGAATGAATGAGAATCAAATTTTGATTGAAATCTGCGAAAAATGTTCATTTTTCTTTACGATGTTAAAATCTTATTGTATTTCGTAGGTAATTTCTAGGGTAATTTGAATTAGTCACCAGGAACAATGTTCATTGTTTCAAATATTGATGCATCAAAATCATTGTGGAAATCTCTCGGAAATGCGTTGAATTAGAAATTGAATTATTCGCATTATTATCCAAAAAGAATTTTTTCCATTTGATTTTTTGAACAAATTAAAATATTCTGTAAAAAAATATTGCGCAATTTTCCGAAAAAAAAATACGTTTCATTAAATTCATTTTCAAAACGCAATTCTCTCCAAATGGATTATTATCCCATTGATAGGTTTCTATTTTGCGTTGAAGTGTTTCAAGGCTGTACAGGGCGCTGTTGTGGTGAGGGGTTTGCGAACCATATGCTGTCATCGATGCTCTCGACCGACCGGAGAACTGTCAACGACATTAACAGATCGAACAATATGTTTTCGTCCGACGACAAGAAAGAAACTAACCTTCAATTAGAAAAACTCATATTAATGTTCGTGTCGTAGTTAACCTTATAAAATCGGAATATACGGACGAAGCAGAAAAAAACCCATCAGTGGCGCAAAAATGTCCGACAAAGAGGCATTCAACAAATGGTTGAATAATAAATTGAAAAGTCTAAACACAGACGAAACTGTGTTTGGCTCGTACATCTTGGGTATATTAGAAGGTGATGAATCAAAGGATGAAAAACGTGAGGCTCTCGAAGGAATTCTGTCAGCTATCATTGTAAGTGTGAATTGCCTAGAAAAAAAACTTGTTGAATTTTTTTTTGTAAAAGTTGTACAATGGTTCGTAGGAAGATGACCTTGAAAATGTGATAAAAGAAATAACTGATGAATGGGAAAAGTGCGAACCGAAAAGCGAAGCGGTTGCAACGGAAAGTGAAGATGTGGATGCGAAATTGGCTCGACTTTTAGAAAATAAACACATAACAACGACGGTTCAACGCACGTACACCGAAGAAGAGAAGAAAATCCGTGAGCAAATCTTAGCACAATACAGTCAAGTGGAATACGATGATGGCTATGATGAGGAAAATGAAGAAGCAGCTGGTGCTAGTGGAGGCGGAGCACAAGATGGCAGCGATCCGCTTATGGTTAAAAATACAAATGCAGCCGACGTTCAAGCTTTGGCCAAAGAGCGTCGCGAACAAGCGAAAATCGATAGCAAAGCCAAAAAGGACAAAGACAAGAGCGATCGCGAAAAGCAAAAGCAACTGCGCGAAGAGAAGAAGGAAAAGAGAAAAACGGTGAAGGGAGAACGAAGACGGTAGCGCGTTTTATTTACATTTATCACAAAGATATACAATTTATACTCCGCAAATGTGTGGAACACAGAAAGCCAACCACATCCACGCTCACGACTCGACACTGTGATTTGTGACACGTCGAAGCAATTTCTGAACTATACATATTTCAACTACTTATTTTTACCAATCGAACAGCATTCATTCGTTTTGAATGTCGTACACATTAAGGTAATTATCATTGATTGTTTGAATTACAATCGGAAAATCGCAGTAATAAAACGTGAAATTCTCAAAAATGGAAAAGAAAATATCAAAATTCATTGCGTGTTTGGATTAGTTTCTGGATTTTCAGTTGAATGTTCGTCGGATTGACAGGCGAGACGTAAGTAAGTATAAGACCAGTTGAGAAAACTCCACATTTTTTAAAGATCTTTGGTGGTCGATTCGAAACTAAGCATTTATGAGAGGGACCACTATTTTCCGATGCAAATTGAAGGCAAACGAGAAATTTACATTTTTCAAGTCAAATACTTCTTTTGATTTCTTTCTGAACCTTTCAAATTGAACAACCTTCATATGCACATTTTTGAACTAAATCTCGCATTAATTTAGATTCTTATTAGATAAATGGGCGACCTCTCTTTGCCAATAGCCAAAACCATTTGCTCATGTTCATTTTTTTCATTATCGTTCTATCTAAAACATGTAGCCAAATCATATGGTCGCTTATCTAAGGTGTTTACTACACATGCAAAATCGACTGATACACATGACTTATTTACGATAAAGTCTAAACCGTGCGGCAAACAACGTTTTTGTAGTTGTCATTTGGTTTGTGTCTGTGTTTAGTATTGTTTCAACGTTCTTGTCATACACACAACCGGCATTTCTAAGACGTCATTCAGTGAATTAGAATTACAGTCGAAATCTTAAATTCAAATAAGCATTAGCACACACTGTGAACCAAGTAATATTCGTTCGTTTATACACCATTCAATACTCACTTTATATAGTATATGTTGTGTCCGGATTGTCATTCAAATTTTAAGAAACCGCGAACAAAAAACTTTTCTTTTAAACCTTTGTTGACAATTGCTTTTGAAGTATTTATAACTATTTGTTTCGCCCTGAATGAGTTTAAACAGCCATTTCGGCAATATCACAAAAAAATTGTTCGATTGGATTACGATGGTTCGTATTGTCTTGTTGCTGTTGCAAATGTTTACATGCATCGCAATAAGTACTGAGAGGTGTCAAAGTATTGCGCACATTTCTATCTGACGGTCTCACAATGCAACTGCTTAGACAGACATTTTGCTAATAGGGTTTGGTTGTGTTTAGATTGGTTTGAGTCTTGACTTTTATCGGTGGTTCATAGGGAATATTGTGTTTTGAATCTTGTTTTGTGGAGTAAAAATGATTTAAAAATCATGTGTTGGGCTTCGTTTTTGTCTGAAGAAAAATCAAACGTTAAAAAATTAATTTTAATGGCTAAGAATGGATTCCGACGGAAATTTTCTTCTCATTGTCCTTGAATGAAATTGACGTAGATTTGTTTTTATTTACATTCATCGTTTCAATACAAACGACTGTTTTCCATACAAACACATTTCGTTTAGCGATTGGACTGTGCCAAATAAATAATAACAACAAATGATACCGCATTCTTTAACCTCAATCGATTGAAAGTGCAGTATTGATGGCAATAGTGGTTTAGTTGTATGGCTCAAAGAAGATTTCAATTATGATATAGAAGAAGTTTTAAAGCATGTCAATCATAAGATTTTATTGGCCCCAAAATAGTAATTTTACATCCTTGTGTAGAAAAAATAAACTGGTTCGATAATCAGAGCAATTCGTAAAGAGCTGCTGTTGGCATGACGGAATGACATTTTGCATCCGAAGCGTAGTAAAAGTATCGAAACGCAGCATTTTGTTTGTGATAAAATTGAGGCGAGTGAAGCTAATCAAGTGTTGTTAAGAAACTGAATGACATTTTAATAATAAGCAATCATGGAGCAAGTTCTTCTCGACACTGTTGAAGAGCAGATCGTCACTGATATAGTGCGATGAAGCGATTTTCCGTTCGGAAAATTCGAAATCATCGATTTTCAGTCAGAGTATGTCATCTGGTGAGAGTGTGTTTCTGGGTTTGACGTCGCCGGACTGCCAGACTGTGACTGTCACTCTGTTATCTACGTAATTAATCAATGAAATTCTCCGATTCGATTTGAGGGAATTGTAAAAACCAGACCAATCTAGCGAAAAAAAAAACATTTTTAATCGCATTGTGGTTACTTTCGACATTTACTTTTGAACTGAACTCATCCTGTGATTCGAACGTGATCACGTTCAATGATTCATCAACTTTGTCTGCTTCTATTTTTTTTTCACTTAGATTTTTTGCTTTTCCAAGCATAAAAATGCTATTCCAACATGTGTCCGGCTTGTTTTAAATAGACGCAAAAATATCCGAGAAAAAAATCCAACGATTTCGATTTTTCCAGTTCCATCGCGTAGCACAAAAAGAATGGAATTAACACAAGATTGGCAGCGTCAGAATTCGCGAAAAGAAAGACATTATTTTCGCAATTTATTTCAGCGAAAATCACAGGCTTACTCTCGCTCTCTCTCTCTCTCACTACTAATAATGGCGATGCTACATATACACCCGAAAAATGTACCATTATTGCGTGATGGCATCTCATAAAATATTAAGTCAGTTATATCAAAACCGGGGTACATCGAAATTCGCGCGAATGGAACCGTTAAGCTGTGCTGCTGACTTTTATGGTCGATTTCCATTTAAATTCAACACCAACTGATTCTCTCTCTCTCTCTCTCTCTCTCTCTCTCTCTCTCTCTCTCTCGGTGTGAAATGAATGCGCGATGTGCGCGCGTTCTC